GTTTTGAAGAACGAAACAATCCTGGATCCTGTCAAATCGTCAATAACCAAATCCAGCGAATAGAGTAATCCGCGTGTGAAGAACAGAGCCCGGGTTACTTACAGGCTACTGCAACTGTTGTTATGGTAACTGAGTGTTTAATCTGCTGTTTGTCGCAGGGCGGTGATTTCACCAATCACAACGGAACCGGAGGAAAGTCCATCTACGGCAACAAGTTTGAGGATGAAAACTTCACACTGAAACACGGAGGCAAAGGCACCCTGTCTATGGCCAACGCCGGCCCCAACACCAACGGCTCGCAGTTCTTCATCTGCACCGCCGACACCAACTGGTAAAACACACACACACACACACACACACACACACACACTATAGAAGGAAACTGAGCATTCTTTATTGCACTGCAACTGATGATAGTTACAGTACAACTTGATGAGTAAAAAAGTAAGAACTCTTACAATTTAGAATTAGTTTCCGCTGGCGCCACACCAAACTTCATCCCGACACTGCTACAGTACAGCTTCTCCTTCAGAATATTCAGTCGTTGCTGTTGTTATTTTTGTTTTATATAAATAGCGGGTAATGATCGCACTAAAACATTAAAATGCAAGTGAATTATAACTGTGAACTTCTCTTTAATCCTAGTAGCCGCTCTGTAGGTCTATTAGAGACGTTCCTAAATATTCCCAGCAGATCTCACACACGTTGGAGACATCCCCGTCACACAAACGCTCTAAATGCAGTGTTCATTTGAGGGCGCAGGAGAAGATCTGCACTTGAGCAGTGTGTATTTGAGGGTTTTGTGCATGTCGGAGGAAAGAGATCCACATGCTCGTATTACATGAAGGCATCTGTCATTAAAATAACACCATGGGTAGTTGGAAGATCTGTGTTAAAGGCCTGCAGTGCCACCACAGCTGGATAATATCCTGGAGGAAACTCCGCATTAAAAATATGAAGATTATCGTGATTTTTAAAAATCTCAAATCTTCCATTTCTCTTTATTAGTTCACTTTTTTTTCAAGTTTTCTTTTTTCCCTTCATTTATTTATTTTTAATGTAATATTTTGACCTGATCTAATGTCTCCCCTTCTCTTATGGTCTCCCTCAGGCTGGACGGTAAGCACGTGGTGTTCGGGAAGGTTGTGGATGGTTTAGATGTTGTGGATGCCATCGAGAAAAAAGGAAGTAGCAGCGGGAAATGCTCCGCCAAGGTCGTGATCGCCAACTGCGGCCAGCTCTAACTCTCCTCCCCTCTCCCTCTCTCTGTCTCCCTCGTTCCCTCACTCTCTCTGGTTTTTGTATGGTCATTCCTCAATGAGACGCTCCTGTTTCATGTATTCTGACGGTTTCCAGGACGCAACGTCTTCTGAAACGTGGATTAAAGATGAATCCAGATTCCTTTGACTGGCGTTCTGTTTTCTTTCTGCATTATTATTGCTCTGTTTAGTTCTTAGAGTTGTTTAAATCAGTGGTTCTCAAAGTGGAGGTCAGGATGCCATGAGGGGTCGTGGGACAGTGAAGGAGGGGTCGCCTGGTGATTTCCAAAAATCTATTTTTATTAAACCGTATGAATTTATAGTTGCTATAATACTGTATTGAGTTACTATAGTAGCTTAGTTACTAGTTGTATTGGATTGCAGCCCCTGGGGTAATTACATTATATTAAAGACACAGCAATAGCGTCAGATGCAGCAGATTGATTTAATAACACCAGGTTAAACATTTACAGCACTCGCATACATAAATAATAAACGAAGAATAGACTTGGGTCTGTTGGTGTTTTTGCGCCATTGCATGCAAGGTTTCTGCATTTATTACCACCCCAGAAGATTTTGGGGATCGCGGGCTGAAAAGTTTGGGAAGTCCTGGTTTAAACTTGCCTTGCCTTGCCTTGCCTTGCCTTGCCTTAAAGCAACTCGAAGTTTATTTCCTCAGTGGCTGCAGTGTTCTGTTGGCCAGCAGGGGGCGCACTAATGCAGTTTACTGTCTTTGTGCCGTTTAAATGAACCCAAAACACTGCGTTAATAATATTTTATAAACCAGGAATGAGTTTCCTAAAACCATGGTTCGCCAACTAGGGTTGCAAGTTCTGTCGTTGCAAACATAGTTTGATTTTGCCGTTTCCCAAATCCGTCGCTCCAACAAACATTCGCAAACTTGAGCACTCGCAACCACACCTCTGGAGCTGTAGTTAGAAACAGAGTTCCTGGCTGTGTTCTATGCCCACTTATCCCCCCTATGCCCTATTCATTTAGAACATTCCAACATTCAAAGTTGGAATTATTAAAAATAAAGCAGTAAGCTCATCTCTCTCTCAGCTGTAGTTTGCTTTCAAACTCTTTCTACAGTTCAGTTTAACGCTCTTCATGTTTACAGTTGTGCTCGCTTCGCAGTGCACTTTGAAAACACTGATGTCGTTTTGAACACAGCCTCATGACGAAAGCTGTAGGTGATTCTATTATTTACAAGCGGAATTTATGTTACGTCTCCAAAGCTTGTGAAAACAAAAAGCTTACGTTAATTCTTTAAATTTATAGTATGTTATTTAGTAAGTATTTGTACTGTATATGACATGGGCCTGCTGATTAGAACTTCCTGAACGTGTCAAATCGTAAAAGTAGACTTTTCAAATAAATAAATACACAATATCCTACTTAATATTACTGATGGGAGTAATAATTATTATTAAAGTATGTTTTTTTTCATGTCTAATATAAAATTTCCTTTTAAAATAAATCGCCTCATTAATTTGTTAATAAGATATTAATATGTGTTGGCTTTTGTAAGTGGTTTTATGTTTTAGAATAGAACATGTAGTGTTCAGTTTCTCAATATTAGTAAAGCAAACACAGGCCCTTTACAGAATGTGCTGTTTACATATATTTGAGTTAATATGTAAAGCGAGTGCATGCTTTTAACAAAACTAATACTGGATTATTTTAAATGTGTGTGTGCGCGCGTGTTCAACAATATAACCTGCACAAATAAAGGACGGGGTTCGTCTCTAAAGAAGCTGTTCCTCCACCGCGTTTAGAGCATCATTATGGGCGTTTTACATTATAACTAACGTGGTTCCAGCAATGGATCTGCGACAGAGAAACTGCAGTTTTAGGAAACACTCGTCACTACATCGGTCTTTCCCAAATGATGCATCGTACTATGATAGTTTAGCTGTATATATAGTTATATATACTATTATAGTTCAGAGTTACATTGTTGTTTGGGAAATACACCCCAGAGCACATCAACAAACAATGAACAGGTCAATTTCTGCAGTTTTTTATTTATAAATGAACATAAACACTAATAATGCTGCAGCTCAGTGATGTCAATGAATTATTATGCATCACACCACATTCCTCTACACAACATTTAAGAATTGCAGTGGGAAAAAACCATTTAATGCAAATGAGGATTTATTTTAAATATGCAGTAATTTACATCTAGCACAAAAATCTAAATGAATAACGTTAGACTGTTATTTACTAAACTCTGTCTTATATTTTTATATATAGTGTTTGGCTTAATGTTTACAGAAGGGAATGAATCATCTAAAGCTCTATTAGTTCAACACAACCATACTCTAAAATCCATCCTGTCAACACTTTTCATGTGTGTTTCAGCAGCAGAAGTGCTCATAGTGTGTAGACTCAGAGCGGAGTGTATGGGAGAGCACAACACATCATCTACAATCCTATTAGCTTAAACAACTATAGAGGAACTCCAGGACGCTGTTATCAAGACTCAGAAAGAGGAATAGTGTGAGACTGATAACAGCAGTCAGAGGAGAGACTCCTTTCAGATTTACTGTCCTGCACCCTATACACACACTGCACTACACACACGCATGAATTCACTCTGTCATTTGAGGCAAAGCTGATCTAATAAATATAAATGTTCATACACATATTATCAAAATCTAAATATTAAACACTTCCAAGGATTTAAGATGTGTGTGTGTGTGTGTGTGTGTGTGTGCATCAGTTAAGACAGCGTCAGCAGCTCTCAGCTGTGTTTGTGGGGAAACTGGATCATGTTGAGCTTTTGTCTGCTGATTTCAGCTTCCGGGTTTAAAATGATTTTTGGGGCGGATCAAAATCGGTGTCGTTGCGCAAAACTGCAAATGCAAAGATGACACGTCGAGTTCTCATTATTATTCATAGTGGACTTTTCTTATCCTATGAGAAGAGCCGGCTTCTTAAATATTCATGAGAGCACGTGCTTTCCAAAGGCAAGGCAGACCTGCCAGTGCCAAGCTGTGAGACACGTTGATGACTGGGTGAGACGCGTTCACGGACCCATGACTGGATTTAGCTGTTCATGAAGGCTCGTATGAGTTTGTTTCCATGATCCACGGGGTTTGTTGCTTGTTTTCCCTGCGTTCCTGTCAGGGCCGATACAGCAAAGCTGTGTGTGTGCTGCTAGCATTTTTGTCAGGAGAGCAGTACGAGAATTGGAAAATGGCGGACGCTGTCTTTTATCAGGAGTTCGTTCACATTGACACATCGCCGTGCTGCTGTGTTCACCTAAATCCTCCAGATTACCAGCAGGGCTAATGGGTATAATAGACAGGGCAAGAGACCTGCTGCACTGAGTGCATTCAGACCGGGGATTAAGGGGGAAGTCCTCATGTATAGTGTATATATGAACACCATTATCTTTATAATGATATAAATTGTGGTTATCTGTATATAAAATTACGAATAACAAATGTAACAGGGCAATAAGGTACTGTTTATTTCTTTGCGTTTTAACTTTGTAAACTATTAACTCATGCATCTCCTCACGGTTTGTGTCTCATTTTGTGAACCGACTGACAACAGTTGTTTACTCCCCTTCTTCTCCTCTGCAGGCCACGCCCACTCCTGCCCTTTGCTCGCGTAGCTCCGCCCATTATGATGCATCTTTTTTTTTAAATTCTGAGGTAGACCTGAACTGAAAGTGGGGGGTGTCATAACCCTTTAAAGAACTCAGTCTTGTGTGAAGGGTCCAGTGATTAGTTCAGTTTGTTTATAATATTACTGTATATACATGCCACTGAGAGTGAAGTCAGAGTAAACCCAGGTTTACATCAGGTTTCCATCAGCTCTGCCAGCATATTTACAGCAGGTTTTCCTCAGCTTGTCAAGCAGGTTTGCTTAAGGTTTACATAAGCTTGTCTAGCAGGTTTACCTCAGGTTTTCATCAGCTCGTCCAGTAGGTTTTCATCAGCTTGTCTAGCGGGTTTACAGCAGGTTTTCCTCAGGTTTACCTCAGCTTTTCCAGCAGGTTTGCTTCAGGTTTACATAAGCTTGTCTAGCAGGTTTACAGGAGGTTTTCCTCAGTTTTAAGGCATGTTTGCTTCAGGTTTACATCAGCTCATCCAGCAGGTTTGCAGGCTGGTTTTCTGCCGTGTCCCCGCTGATAGGAATGTTGCACATTGGACAGGAGCAGCGGATCTCTAGCCAGTCCAGCAGACACCTAAGGACACAGTAGGACACTTCAGCTCTATACCTCTGTTTAAGTTATCTTATGGTTATGTCTGAGTTAGCAGAGTTATGTTTATGCTATGTTCAAGTTATACTTCCGTTATGTTCGGGACATCTTAAAGATTTGTTTAGGTTTTGTTATGTCTGAGTTATCTTCAAGCTATGTTTAGGTTATGTTTAAGTTATGTTAGGGTTATCTTTAAGCTATGTTTAGGTTATATCCAGGTTATGTTTGGGTTGTAATTAAAGTATCTTCAGGTTATGCCCAGCTTTGTTCAATTTATGTTCTGGTTATGTTCAGGTTAGTTTTTAAAAAGCCTAAATATGACTAAATATAAGCTTGAGCAAGTAAATCTCAACATATACATGTCAGGCAAACACAATCTTATTTGATGTTAATATAGCAAGCTGTGTTCTTTTTATGGCTTTCATGAACAGCACTTTTAATCTCTTAATAATCAGTGTTTTTCAATTTGTAAAATCTTTTAACCTTTTTAACTTCTACATTAATCACAATATCTATGTTTGGAGGCCTGTGATTGGCTGTTTGCTGCTGGAGGCCTGCCTTCATCTGCACTCGCTCATAAAGTCAGGATAAAAGCTTGCAGAGGAAGCTGGCGATCAGAATCATGGAACCAACAAACAGGTTTGGCTTTGTCAATTCTAAAGTAAGCCTGAGTCTGTGAATCCAGCATCATGGTACAGGCCTCTGGCTGATGAAGCAGAACTCACCGCTTGTGAAAGGCATGTTTACAGGCCAACAGACCCAGCTCATCGCTCATCCTGAAGTCCTCCAGACACACTGCACACGTTACCTGAAGAAAACCACACAGTCAGAACAACAAACATCCAGCAAAGACTCACTGATGAACACAAACTGACACTCACCACATGTTCATCCACCGCTTCATCCTTAAACACCACCTGTCATCAAAAACACACACGTTTAGCTCCCGTCTTAAAACATGAGTTACATCCCAAATGATACACATACACTCATATACTATACACTTAAACACTAATGCACTATACACTAATGAACTTATACACTAATGAACTTATACACTTATTCACTTTACACTTATACACTATACTTTATGCATTTATATACTAATGCAGTATACACTAATGAACTTATACACTATACACTAATGAACTTATACACTAATGAACTTATACACTATACACCTATGAACTTTTACACTTATTCACTTTACACTTATTCACTTTACACTTATACACTATACTCTTATACACTATACTCTTATACACTATACTCTTATACACTATACTCTTATACACTATACTTTATGCATTTATATGCTAATGCAGTATACACTAATGAACTTATACACTATACTATACACTTATACTTGTACACTATGCACTTATTCACTATACACTTATACACTTTACGCTTATACTTGCACACTATACACTTTTAAAATATACACCTTTACTTGTACATTACACACTTTACACTATACACTTATACTTGTACACTATACACTTATGCACTACACACTTATGCACTTATATACTATACTCTTATACACTTTACACTTATACATTATGCTTTTATACACTATACTCTTATACACTATATACTTACACACTATACTCTTAAACACTATGCACTTATACACTATACTCATACACTATACTCTTATACACTATATACTTACACACTATACTCTTAAACACTATGCACTTATACACTATACTCATACACTATACTCTTATACACTATACACTTACACACTATACTCTTGAACACTATGCACTTATACACTATACACTTATACACTATACACTTACACACTATGCACTTATACACTATACTCATACACTATACTCTTATACACTATACACTTACACACTATACTCTTGAACACTATGCACTTATACACTATACTCATACACTATACTCTTATACACTATACACTTACACACTATACTCTTGAACACTATGCACTTATACACTATACATTTAAACACTATACTCTTAAACACTATGCACTTATACACTATACACTTACACACTATACTCTTAAACACTAT